TAGAAGAGCACATTAAATTGCTCTGATCATATTTTCTGGTATTACTGAAGCCTTGCTGTGATGCAGGGCTATTTAGAAAGCAAGGACATAGATGGAATTTAAAGTACTCAAAAAGGTACTTGATTAGAATTAATGAGAATGAAAAGAGAATTGAGTTAAATAGTTTCACTAGTTATTGGACTTGAATTTCTGTAAATAAAGTGAATTTTATGTGTTGGTTGCTTTGAGAGAGAGAAAAAAATTTGTGTTCATTTTGTAACTAATAGTTTAGAGTAGATTGATCATAGAATAATTTTGAGAACAAGGCTTTCATATAGCTTAGAAATGGTTAAAATTGGCATTAAAAAGGGAATCTACAGAAAAATCAAGATTTGGTGCTTCAAGCTCAAAACTGTGATATGTATGGTGCATTTTAATGTAAGAATATTTTTTGCTTACGTTATACATGTTAATGAGAGGTAAATTTTGAGGTAACTTACTGTAAAGCAGAGGAGTTTTCTGTGTAATTATTTGAGAGTAATAAAACTTTAAAAATAAAAAATACTTCAGTGCTTTGGGAGGCTGGGGTGGGAGGCTCACTTGAGCTAAGGAGTTCTGGACCAGCCTGAGTCAAGTGTAGAGAGACCCCATGTCTACACAAACAAACAAAAAAATTAACCAGGCGTGGTGGTACATGCCTGTAGTCCCCGAGACTCAGGCAGGAGGGTGGCATGAGCCCAGTATTAGACGCTGCAATGAGCCATGATCATGCCACTGCACTCTATCCTGGGTGACAAAAGTGAGACCCTGCCTCCAAAGAAAGAAAGAAAATAAAGTAAAATTAAAAATTAAAAATACAATCGAATAGAAGCTCACTTTCTATAAGAAAATGAAGTGGTTGAAAAATAGGAAGAGATTGCATTTATGAAAGGGGAGATGTGAGATATATCTGAAAAAGAAAAGTCAAGAAACAAGGTTTAGATTTATGTTACTGGAAAAGAAGATGTAAAAATTAGAGAGTAAGAGAAAACAGAACTAACAGGCTCAGAAAAAAATTAATGTTAATTAAAAATTAATGTATTATCTCCCTCTGGCTGAAAATCTGAAATTGAGTGATAATGAATAGTAAGAGTTGGGTATTCATACTAACTTAGGAAATTGGGCATTTTGAAGAAAAATACATTTTTCTCATAGAAATACTTCCTAAAGGGCCATATATTGTACACTTAAAGGAACTTTGAAATTGACCAAAAATACAGAAAGATAGAGGAAAGATAGTTGAAATTATTAGGTCCTGTGGTTAGATAGGCATTTTTAGGTTAAAATAAACACCCAAATTAAAGTCAGAGGCTAACAAGTACCTGTAGATTCCATGTTTATTTGTCATTTTTCTGGTAGATATTGCAAGTACTCTTCAAGTCACTGGAATGGTACAGCTCAGAAGTGCTATTCTGCAGCACACTTGTAAATTATCAGAAGAGGGGCATTCTTGTATTTTGAGTATAAGTGGATCAATCCGTGATATTTATAGGGAGAGGTCAAGTGTGGACAAGAAAGCTTTAATTTTTTGGCTGGTCATAGTGGTTGATGCCTGTAATCCCAACACTTTGGGAGGCCCAGGTGGGAGGATCACTTGAGGCCAGAGGTTAAAGACTAGCCTGGGCAAATAGTGAGACCCCGTCTCTATTTGTATATAAAAAGCTTTAAAAGAAATTAGATAGCTTCTTTCCCAAATAGTTAGATATGTACATTGAGAACACCAAGTTTATTTGAAGGTAGAGACAGAGGCACAATAAAGACAGAACCTGGGAAGAAAAGCCCAATGGGAGATAGAAGTGAAAAGTGATATTAACGTGGCACTGGTAAAATTGGAAACAATTGTACTTTGCCTGTTTTCTTGACATAACATGTGAAAAGTTGAAACTATGAAGTGCTATGCAAATGTAAAGTATTAATGACATTGCCAGTAGGGCCCCTACAGTGAAGGAGTGTGGGAGAGTGCTGGAGAGACTATAGTTCCTGAGTTAAGCAGACCAATTCTAAGGGAAGAGTGCAGTGGTAGAGATTACTATTGGGAGATTGTGAGAAGAATAGGACCCATCAAGTCCAGGATGGGGTCATATGAGCTAGTGAATGGAACGGAGATCAGCAAGATACAGGACAGGTGAGTTGTTGGCATAGATGCATAGGCTGCGATGGCATGGGGTATGATGGCATGGGGATGATGGAGGATGGCATGGGCCAGGGAAGAACAGTAGCACTAGTTGGAAATGCCTTGAGTAGAGAGATCAGTGGTGATGATACGGACAGAGAGTCTATTAAAAGTAAATGATTCGGAGGGCTAAAAGGTATTGAGAAAACCTCTTACTGTTCCCTTCTCCCGACATGTAGTCCCAATGATATGATTTTGAGCCCTAGTGATGAGTCGTTCCTATAAAATTGGTTTTTCCTTTCTGAATTTGCAGGTCGCATGGAAATGAAAAATCTAACAGAATTATACTTTTATAACAGGATTCCACTAGAAAAGTTTCTTTGAGATACATCAAAAGAGCTGTCTAGGCAGTTAGAGCCATTACACTGTTCGCTAGGATTATCAAAAACCCCAGTTTGGCCAGAACTGAGAGGTTTCCCAGGATGCAAGATTAAAACCTGATGTTCCTGAGCAAACTGGGACGAGTTGGTCGCCCTCCTGTTTACTCTCTCATTCTATAAAGTCATTGAAATGACCAACAGTATTTCTATGTAGAAGTAATATTTCTATATTCCTATATATAATTTAACTTAAAATTTAATCCTCTATTTTGTAGTTTACATTTTAATGAAATATTTATTTTATGCTTTAGAGTTGCTGAATCTTAGCCATATTGAGGGGGGAGACTGCATGGTTCATCCATTTTTATCTTTGCCACATTCATTGAGTTTTACATTTTATGCTTGATAAAATAGCTTTGCCTAAGTGCAGGCTTTCTAACCTTTTAGGTTCCACATTTATTGGACTAAACTGCTCTGTTACATATCATCCTATCTTGTTACTGAGTTTTTTCTTATGTATTAGTATTGTCGTCAAAATTAGACTCGGTATTGAAGCCAGGACTTTGTCTTCTACCATTTCTGTATCCTTGCCATACCCACTTTATAAACTATGCAGCCAATAAGTATGTTTATTAATTGATCCAGACACATAGATATGTGACAGTATTTATTTGACTTTTCAAAGCTTTAACACTGCAGAGTGTGCAGAATGAATCAGATCTGTTCGAATTGAATCTTCTTTCCCTTCCCTTCCCTCCCCTCCCCTCCCCTCCCCTCCCCTTCCTTCCCCTTCCTTCCCTCCCTCTTTCTTTCTTCCTTTCACAATTTTGCTTCTGACTTAAGAAAGACATTTTGAAGTAAGCAGGCAATTAAGATATACCTTCTAAATGAGGATTTGATAGATCTATAACCTGAGTACTGGAAATGTAGTTTATTATCTACATTCAGGACTTTTTTCTGTTCTTTGCAGTTGAATAATAGTGAACCTTTATACAAGCCTGGGGATTTTCATAGGGTTGGACCGACATAATTAGCTTAGATATTACTGACCATACCCTCTGAGCGTAGATTATGACCTAAAACTCAGACTTCGTTTTTTCTTTTGCCAACCCTGCTTTCTAAATTCCTGAGCCTAAATTGATCATACAGTTTTTTTGTCTTCTCATATGCTGGGGACCAAGGACAACTTGATAAAAGTCATACCGTTATGCAGATTGTTGTCCCTGAGGGCTTGTGATGAGCACAGTATTAATAGGGCTCAGCAGAAGTTGATCAGCACTCTCTCATTCTGCTCAATATTTATTCCAAAACATCTCCACTGTGAACAAGCCCATTGTCTTCCATGGAAGTTAATGCCACTTACATAAACTGTGACTCCAAAATATTTCTTCCCCATGGACCTGTTTCCTCGACTGCATGCTTCTCTAACTAGCTGTCTATTATACCTGGTTATTAGCAACTTTCTTTTGAACTGCGTATCCAAATGAAACTTGTATTTTTAACCTCCTTCTTCCACAATAAAAACAATAGGTAGTCTTTATTGAGTCCTCACTTCGTGCTGCATACTCAAAGTGCTACGTCTTTTACATATATTATCTCATTTAATTCTCATTGTAACATGAGATAGATGACTTTGTTTTTCCTAGTCTACTGATACAGGAAATGAGCCATGGAAAAGTTAACTTGGTCATACAGCTCTTAAGTGGCAGAACTGGAAGTGAAAAATAGTCTTACTTAGATCCGTAATGGATCTCCGTTCCATTCACTAGCTCATATGACCCCATCCTGGACTTGATGGGTCCTGTTCTTCTCACAATCTCCCACTAGTAATCTCTCCCACTGCACTCTTCCCTAATAGTCAAATAGTCAAATAGTCTTACTTTTCTCTCTATCCTGGTTAGGGAACCATCATCCACACAGACAACGAAGTGGGAAATTTTAGTTTTTCAGATTCTTATTTTTTTTGTAACCCTCAGCCATCCTATAGCCATCTGGTCAAAGACCTTATATGTATCCTCAGTGTTTTCTTTCATACTGCCAGTGCTCTAGTTCAGATAAGCTCACTATCTTAAATCTAACCCCCACAGCTTCCAAAGTTATTTTTCCAAAATGCAATTCTCATCACTGAAGCCATCAAGATAAACTTTAAAGTACTATGCATGGTATATTTTAAATACAATATAAACTATTACATAGGATGCTATGCAGTTTAGACCCTCTTTGTTTGCCTGATCACATTACATTCTCCGTTTGTTCCATTGTGCACTATGCAAGCAGTTCTCTGGACGTTCCATTCTTTCTCTAATTCTCTCTCGAAGAATTACGCACTTCAAGATGCGGTTCCCTCAGAGGTTATCTTCTCTGTGATCCCTTTCTTGATCCCTGAAGGATGGATTGTCTACCTTCTCTTATGTGCCCCGGATGTAGTACTTTACCTTTTGCATCTGTTTTAGGAATTATCACACTGAAAGCTATTTATTTGTTTACAGGGTTGTCTCCTCACAGACTATGAGCTCCTTGAAAGAGGGAATCGTGTCTTACTCATCTTTGTATCCCCAGTGTCTAGCAGTTCCTGATACATAGTAAGTGATTAACAATTTTTTTAAACTAAGACCACATTTAATAATGAGACTTCATACATTTTGATAATTATGTAGACTTAGTAATATGTGGTCATAAAAAATACTTTAGACTTCTGATACTCCTGAGACTCAGTTTTCTCGTCTCTAAGATGGACAGAGTGCTTCCCTCCTCACACAGTGTTACTGTAATGCTCAGATGGGAGAATATATGATAGTACATTATCTTTTAAGTGTCATATAACTTTATTAAATGAAGTGTAGAGAATAATTGTTGAAATTGATAATTTTATTTGCTGTATCTCTTCCCTTTTAAGGCAAGGTAAGTATCATTTTTTGAACCATCTTTCATGGTTTTAGTTTAAATTTGCAGTTACTGGTTACCAGAACATGTGCTCTTGAGTCTGGGGATTGGGTGATATCAAAGAGTTTATATAGAATACAGAGAAAAATAGATTGGGGGTGGGGATCAGAGTACACAGAGTTTCATGTAATAAAGTGAATAATTTTTTACCTGGTTGGCACTGTTCCCGCGTCTCCAGGGTATTGTAAACTTTTAAGATTTTTCTCAAATAAGTAATCTATGCCTCTTGCCTTTATTCTCAGTAGTTGTCTTTGTGTTTAGTTCCCTAGTAAGGGTGTTTGATTTTTTTTTTTTTAATCTACCTCCAAATGAATCAATATCTTCACCTATCCTTAAGTCCCTCATTTACTGCCTAGAGGAAGAAGTGTCTTTTTCTTGGAAGACTAAATGCCATCTGTGAAAGCTGTATCTGTCCTTCTTTTGCATCACAGTCTCCAGTAATCACACTTGATTAATTAGTGATTTATACTTCACTGTGTCTACTTCCGTGCCTTCCATACATTCTTTAAATTAAACAAGAAGAAAAAATCATGTGATTTGAATGTACCAGATTATATGTAACACATAGAAGTCAATAATAAAATCCATTTGTGAACCGACTGCTCAACCGAAGAACTAGGTCAATCCCAGTGTGGTTAAAGAGCTGTGAAGACCTCTCTGATTCCATATTCTTACCTTTTCCCAGCCCCTAAAGTAACTGCTATCCTGAACTTGTTTCCATCTTTTCTTTTTAAAATACCACAAATATGATTGTTTGATTTGAGTTTCATAATCATGTTTGCAGGCTTTTTAAAGCTTGCATATATGGTATTTTATTATAGAGGAAAATCTAATTTACAAATCTTTATACATTTCAAGGAAAGCATTGAAACATCATAAAAGATGTTTGAGCAGACATAAAAATAGACAGAAATATCTGAATAGGCAAATTCAAATTTATAACCAGAAAATAATTGTGAAGACTTATTTTTGGACTCTGTGGATATTGCTATATCATAGACAAATAAACATTTCTGTACACTAGTTTCTTTATTGTGTGCAGAAATGTTACCATGAGATTCACAGAGTACTCCTTGGAAGACTGACAGCTTGTTATTTGGTGGCCGTTTGGACCTTAGCAGTTCTTTACTGGGCTTCCTGTAATTGCTCGTTGGTCAAACTCTTGAGGCTCAGGATCCACAGTACCCCACATTTCTGGATTTCTTTTTCAATCATGGAATCATGGTGTTTTCAAAGGAAATGAATAACAAAAGATGAGGTCATGATAACTGTCAAAAGAATTCATTTCTTCTTTGTCATTAGGAGTTGGAAGAATTTCTTATGACTTCAGTGTAGAATGTTAAATCTTGGAGACAGAACTGAGAGGAAGGTGTTAATGCTCAGAACTCATCTGTCTTTTTTCTTTTCTACTTACTGTTCTTTTTCTTAGATCCATTCATGTTGTTGCTTATAGCTATATTCATTCTTTTTTTTTTTTTTTTTTTTTTGAGGCAGAGTCTTGCTCTGTCACCCAGGCTGGAGTGCAATGGCACGATCTCAGCTCACTGCAACCTCTGCCTCCTGGGTTTAAGCAGTTCTCCTGCCTCAGCCTCCCGAGTAGCTGGGGTTAGAGGCATCTGCCACCTCGCCTGGCTAATTTTTGTATTATTATTATTTTTTTTTTGGTAGAGGCGGGGCTTCACTGTGTTGGGCAGGCTGGTCTTGACCTCAAATAATCCACCCGTCTCGGCCTCCCAAAGCACTGGGATTACAGGCGTGAGCCACGACCCCCACCTAGTTCATTCTTCTCACTACTGTATAATGCTCGATTGCATGAGTTAGCCTAATTTATGTAACCATTTTCTACCAATGGACATTTGAGTATTTTTCACTTTTTTTGTTGTTATGAAGAATGCTTATACTTGGTACACAGGTACAAAAATTTTATAAAATTCAAAATCGCTCATTGAAGGGCATGCAAATGTTTAACTTTAAATGATAATGCCAAATTGTTTTCCAACAGGATTTTGCCATCTGAAATGCCTACCAGCGGTATATAAGAGCCACCACTGTTGCATGTTTTTTGCCATTATTTGGCACTATCAACATTCCTAGTTTTTACCATTCTAATGAATTTAAAAATGACATCTGTGTGGTTTGTATTTCTCTGATGGGCAGTGAGATTTGGCATTGTTTCATCTTTGTTGGCCTTAGAAATCTCCTTTTCTATATAATTACAGTTAAGCCTTTTGCCTAATGTGTTGTCTTTTTCTTATTTGTAAGTATTATATAGTAGTAAATACTAATCTTTAGTTTTTTGTTTTGCAAATTTATTCCAGTTTCTGGCATATCTTTTCATTTTCTTTATGATGTCCTGATAAACAGAAGTCTCAATTTCCATGTAGTCAAAATATTCACACTTTTTTTTTTCTTTTGAGACAGAGTCTCACTCTGTTGCCCAGGCTGGAGTGCAGTGGTGTGACCTCGGCTCACTGCAACCTCCACCTCCCGAGTTCAAGCCATTCTCCCTGCCTCAGCCTCCTGAGTAGCTGGGATTACATGTGCCCACCACCACGCCTGACTAATTTTTGTCTTTTTTTAGTAGAGACAGGGTTTTGCCATGTTGGCCAGGCTGGTCTTGAACTCCTGATCTCAGGTGATCCGCCTGCCTTGGCCTCCCAAAGTGCTGGGATTACAGGTGTGAATATTCACACTTTTCTTATTTGGTTAGTATGCCCCTGTCACTTAAGAAATCCTTGCATCCTGGGAGGACACAAAACAATAGTTTTCTGCTGTAATTTGTTCTAAAAGTTCTACTGTTTCCCTTTCATATTTATGTCATTGGTCCATCTTGAATTGGTTTTATATATGATGTGCAATAGGGGTCCAGTGTCATTTTTTTTCCATATGGCTAATTCAAGGTTTATTTAAGTATCCCCCTTTTCTCGTGGATCTGCATTGCTACATCTCTTATATGGCTATGTCCTTACATGCGTCGGTCTGTTTTAGGGCTTCCTATTTTGTTTCATTTTTTTCCCCTTCATTAGTCTTATCAGACATTTATTATTTATCTTAGTGTTTTCTAAGTAGCTCTGACTTTGTCGATCCTTTCTGTTACCTTCTTTCTACTTCGTTAGTTTCTGCTCTTTATTAACTCCTTTCTTTGGGTTTGTTCTGTTTTTCTCTTTCAGACTTACCAGATGACCTACTAACACATGAGTTTTCAACCTTTCCTTTCCTAGTATGTCTTTAAGGCTATAAATTTGCCTCTAAGTATAACTTTTCCCATACATTTTCATATGTGGTATTTTTGTTTCTCAGTTCTTAGTTTTTTTTTTTTTTGTAATTTCCAACATGGTTTCTTTTGATTCATTAATTATTTAGAAGTGTTTTTAAATTCTATTCATATTTTTCAAGTTTATCTTTTGTTACTGATTTTTAACTTAATTGTATTACGGACAGAGACTTAGAACATTTTTTGAAATTTAGTGAGCTTTTCATTGTATCTCAGTGTATGTTTTTTTGTATTGTCACTCATGTCTCATGAGTACCTGAGAAAAATTTTTATTTTCTAATAGTTGGTTGTGAGGTTCTGTTGATGTTATTAAATCCTGCTTGTTCATTATTATTTTTTGTCTGCTTGACTTATGATTAATTGGGATGTGTTGAAATCATCCACAACAATGGCCGAGTTGTCAGTTTTTTCCTGTAGTTTTTACTGTATTTTGAGGCTTCCCACCCACCCCATGTAGATTGTGAGTTTTATTTTGTCTTGTTTGGATAGAGATTCTCGTTGTTGTTGTTGAGACGGAGTCTCGCTCTGTTGCCCAGACTAGTGGCTTGTTTTCATATAAATTTGATTTTTAAGATTATAGACTCGGACTTGGTTGGTCTTCGTCTTGGGTACTCCCAATGGCTTAAATTGGGGTACCTTCCTAAAACATGTATATATATATATGCTTCTGCCGTATGTTAGGAGTTTCTACTGACTTGGGCCCTTGCTTAGTATGGGAATCTCAGCTCCTTCCCCTTGTAGCAGGCCCAGTGCTTTGTCTCTGGATCCCAGCGTTCCTGCAGCAGGGCAACATTCTAATGTTTATTTTTATTTTTGCTTACTACTCACCATTTTTTCTGTTATTTCAACTAACTTTAGGGTTTGTTTTAATGGGATGGTAATAGGCTTCATAATTTCCCTGTACTTTTTGAGAACTTCTTAGTTGATTTAAAAAGTAGTTTTAATATCTTGAAAATTATTAACTCTTATCTAACACATGAATAAATTCCCTTTTTTAAAAATAGGTTTTAGCTGAATTTTGGGACATGGCCACTGCTTCACCAAGGTCTGATACTAGTAATAACCACGGTGGAAGGTTGCAGTTACAAGTAACTGGTAAGTTATTTTTATATTTAATATGGTGATTCCCTGATAAACTTTTCTTTTGAATACCTAATTCAGCAGACTTATTCCAGAAATATAATTTCTTTTAGATTCATACTATGGCGTATTTGTTGCAATAGGCCTCAAAGGTAGATGCCCTCCAAAAGTATGCTATTTATTCAGTAAATATTTATTGAACCTATGCTGGATGAAGAGAAGATAAAGCCTCTGTAATGGTGGGAGAATTTGGGCTTTTGAAAAGTATCATTGAGTTGACCCTTAAATGATTAATAGGATGGAGCAGGATGCTAAAGGCCTTCTTACATACATTTAGTCATTTGTTCAATCATTGGGCAAATATTTAAGTGGGATTACACAGTGCTGTAGTTCCCATGGTACTCATTACTGTAAGGTTAGCTGTTTCTGGGAGGTTTCAGTTAACAGAGCTAGGAAATGTTTATTGTAGAAAGCAAAAAATAAAAAATATTTTAACATCCTTAGTTCATGCTGATATTTCCAATTCATAATAATAACTGTAGTCTGTAAGTACCATTTTCTACTAAAAGGAAAAAAAATTAAATTAATTTGACTTTATATTTATATCTTTTTTTTTTTTTTTTCTTTTGAGGTAGGGCCTTACTCTCTCTCCCTGGCTGGAGTACAGTGGCACAAACATACCTCCCTGTAGTCTGAAACTACTGGACTGAAGTGATCCTCATGCTTCAGCCTCCCAAGTAGCTGAGACTGCAGACGTTCAACACCTTCCCTGGCTAATTAAAAAAAAATTTTTTTAGAGACAGGGTCTCACTATGTTGCCCACGCTAGTCTTGAACTCTTTGTTTCAAGCAATCATTTTGCACCACCCTCCCAAATTGCTGGGATTACAGATGTGAGCCACAGTGCCTGACCTGTAACTCCCTTCTCTTAATCAAAAAATCTTCATTCAAAATGACATTATCATATTATCTGTTTTATCCTACCACACCAGTTCAAAATAACATGAAAATTACCAAAAACAGAGGAAGGAGGAGATGAAAAAAGGGGGGAAAAAAGGTAATTAAAAAAATTACCAAAAACAATAGGTCCACTCATTGCAGTTTAAGATTTTTTTTGTGCGTTTTCCCCCTTTAGGATGTATAATCAAAATACCATGTTTTAAAGTACCTTAGTAATTCTCTATTTGGTTATGTCACTAAATTGATAATTAGTTAAGTTCATTTTTTTTTCAGTGTTTTTTTTGTTTTGTTTTGTTTTTTTAATTTTGTTTTATAACCTTGTAAGACATTTACATAGTCCCAGAGTCAAAACCAAGGTACCTTCAGAGAGGTCTGGCTACTTGGTCCCATTTTCCCACTTCTCTCCCTTGCCCTGTAGGTTCACATTTTTTATTAGCTTTGCTTTATCTTTCTGTTGCTTCTTTTTGAAAATATAAGCAGATATGTGTTCAGTATATGTATCTCATTTCTCCTCCTAATCCCCTAATTCTTACATACTTTTCTGTGCTTTGCTTTTTTTAACTTTATAGTATTATTCTGGACTTTGTTTCATGACAGAATATTCTTTTTTATTATTGCACCATACCTTGTTGAATAGATGTAAAAAAGCTAACTAATCTATTGCTCGACATTGGAGTTCCACTGTTTGCTATTACAAATAGTGCTGCAACAAATAACTTCATACAAAAGTTGTTTATTATTTCTGCTCATGTATCAATAGGATAGGATCCTAGATTGCTGGGTCAAAGGGTAAAAACACATGTAATTTTGCTAGGTATTGCCAAGTTCCTCTCCATGGGGCCTGTACCATTTTGTGTCTACACCAGCTGTACATGAGAGTGCCTGTTTTCCCAAAGCCTAACCAAAATCTATTGTCAAGCTTTGGGATTGTTCATAATTAGATACTAAAGTGGTATCTTAGTGTTATTTAAATAGCATTTCTCTCACTGTAAGTAAGGATGAACGATAAGGGATATTTGTATTTTGTTTTCTGTGAATAATGGGCATGTATTTTTGAAACAGTTCTCCTGATGAAGCTGATAGGTACTCCACTGAAGAACCACTTACATAATTCCTTCTACTTTTGTTCTGTATAAGAAACTTAGAGCCTTATTTTCACCACATTTTCAGTTCATTGTAACTTGCCTAGGACCAATGGACAGTACACCCGAAGTTTAACTTTCACATTATCTTGATCTATGTGTAAGAGTTCTTAAAGTAAGAAAAACCTAGGCTGGGCATGGTGGCTTATGCTTGTAATCCCAGCACTTTGGGAGGCCAAGGCAGGTCGTTCACGTGAGGCCAGGAGTTTGTGACTGGCGTGGCCAATATGGTGAAACCCCATCTCTACTAAAAATACAAAAATTAGCCGGGCATGGTGGCACATGCATGTAATCCCAGCTGGTTGGGAGGCTGAGGCATGAGAATCACTTGAACACTGGAGGTGGAGGTTGCAGTGAGCTGAGATGGTGTCACTGCATTCCAGCCTGGGGGATAGAGTGAGGCTCTGTTTCTTTTCTTCAAAAAAAAAAAAAAAAAAAAGAAAAGAAAGAAAAAAGAAAAACCCGATCTGGCTAATTTGAGCTGAAAAAGAACTTACTGAAAGGCTATCAGGTGAATCAAATCTGGAGAACCAATTGGAAAATAGATGTGGACCAAGGGAGTCTAAGTAACCAAAACAATGCCACGACAGTATTTATAATTTTGAGCATCAGTTGCTGCTCTCCTTTGAAATACAGTGATCCTCTTGGGAAATAATGATCATGGACCTGTGCTAAATGGCACCAGGTTTTAGTACCTTCTTTTCTTTTTGTCTTTGTCTTTTGTTTTGTTGATCTAATTTTTTAAAATAAAAATCACCTTAAAATTCCCAGTCTTACTGATCTTACAATCACTTCTTAAATAAAGATTACGACTCCTGATTTGTCATTGAGGACACTGAGAATCAGAGGGATTAAATTAAGTGCCTTGGGTTAATAATGAGAAACTAACAGAGGTCTTAGGACTCCAAGTTGTTTCTCCTTTTATTAGATTACAATGACCTCTGTATTGATTTTTCTTTTTTTTTGAAATGGAGTCTTGCTCTATTGCCCAGGCTGGAGTGCAGTGGTGCGATCTTGGCTCACTGCAACCTCCCGCTCCTGGGTTCAAGTGATTCTCCTGCATCAGTCTCCCAAGTAGCTGAGATTACAGTTGCATTGCCAACATTCCTGTCTAATTTTTTTTTGTATTTTTAGTAGAGACGGGGTTTCACCGTGTTGACCAGACTGGTCTCGAACTCCTGACCACAGGTGATCCGCCTGCCTTGGCCTCCCAGAGTGCTGGGATTACAGGCGTGAGCCACCACACCCAGGCTTTTCTTTTCTTTTAAAAACAATAAGTAACCAGGTTAAGACCCCTCTAATATTGCAGTCTGGCTGTTTATTGTCTGTAAACTGAGGTACTCTGCCCTAAGCCGAATTATTAAAATCTCCTAATTTATTTTTATTATTAGCATAGTTACTCTTATCCTCATTTCTGTTCTTAACCCTTATCTGATTGGCAGCAACTTATAAGAATAAGAGCATTGATCATGGAACGCAGGGAAACTGATGGAAAAAATAAAACAGAAAACTACCTATTGTCATATGGTGATATACTGTAATGTACCAGGTACCTAAGGATAGTAGCATATAGAAGTGTATTATCTTCGATATTTTAGATTTTAGACTTTCAACAGGAAAGAGTCAGAAGCATAAAGTGTGCAAGATATATTAAAAGGATGAGATTGAAGAACAAATGGGATGTTATATTCATGTTTATAATTTTTTTTAGCTATTTTGTCTTCTAGAGCATTAATTTCATTTTTTAAAGTAAAAATGCCAAATCATATGTCACTTATTTTTGTATGAGTGGTGTGAATTATAGACTTCATTCTTTTCAAATGTTTCAACATTTATGGACTAATCTATCTTCCCATTGATTTGAAATACCACTGTTATGCATTAGTATCTTGCTTGTTCTCTTTACTTCTCTTTTACATCACTGTCAAACCATTTTAATTATTTTCACTTTATGGTGCTTTTTAAAAGACTATTTTGATAAATTTCCTTTTATTACTTTGCATTTTAAAATATACCTTTACTGTTCTCAAATTTTCTTTGGCTTTTGTTTGAATATTTAAGTCTCCCCTCCTTTTCCTCTGCCCCGACCAAAAACACTCAAAACCAATCAGTTGGTGTTTTTATTTTAAAATAATGTATTAAATTGGAGCTAATTGAAATATTTCAGTGTTAAATTTTTCAAATCTAGGAATATATCATATCATTTTTCTTACGTCTTTGTTTCTATTGGTAAAGTTTTATTGTTCTCTTCATGTGACTCTTACGTATTAAGTTTATTACTAGATTTTTTGAAGAGACGTTATTGTCAGTGGGATTTTAAAGTTAACGCTCCCTACCCTCCCACACATGACTCATTTTCTGATAGTTTAAAAATACTTATATAACCTTAGGGTGGAGGACAGTCTGTGTATAACACCAAAGGAAATTCATTAAATAGGAAAAAAAATCTATATATTCTACTAACTAGAACAACTTTTTGAATTAATAAGATTGTCTTCTAGTTATTTAAAATCACAGTATTATATTTATATGTGCATTTTTGCTAGCATATTTATAAATTCCTCATGAGATTAAAGATTATTATCTTTTCAAAATCTCTTTTCTTACCTTACCCTCTAGTATTGTTGAGTATTTTGCCAAGTAAGGGTATTCATTGGACGTATTTTGGATGGATCTGCAATGAACTCAGAGAAGAGTTAATACTATATAGTCAGTAGTAATAGAGTAACAGCTACCATTGTTGGATGCCAGGCATTCATTGATGATGATAGTGCTTTGCATGCCTTCACTCACCAATCCTAAGAATCAGGTACTGCTGTTCTTCTTATTTTTCAAGTAAGGACGGAGAAATTAATTGACTTACTATGGTCAGGCTTTTAGTAACTGGCACAGTTGAAAAATGAACCCAGATATATCTAACCCTCTGCTTTTAACACCATCATATACTGACTTTTCCTTCTTCCAGTCTTCTACTATATGGATAAGACTTACATATACTGAGGAAATATATGAACACTTTTATTCAAAGAATCTTGGGAGAGAGCAAGTCTGGGCCTTCTGTGTTAGTTCAGTGACACTGAACTTAGAGCAGTTTGGAACCGTGAAGGATGGAAATGAGTTTTGCTAAGACCCTGATAGTAGCAGTTCAGATATAACATTGAACACTCTTTAATTGCTATGTTGCCAGTACTTAAATATAGTATTTGTTTTACATCTTACATTTATCACATTGTATTTCAGTGGTTTATTTGTGTGACTCTTTATTTAGATCATTATTCTCTCACAATAGAATGGAAGCTTACATAGCTTTGGTTGTTTTTATATCCTTAACATCAGTTGTGTGTGACATGAAAGAGGCTTTTCCCTTCCTCATCTCTGACCGAGGGTGTTCATAGGTAATTGGTTATAGAGGTGATCTTGATAAGTTGTTCTTACTGCCTGGTCATCAGTATTTTGCCCAGAAAGTAGATAGTCCCTGATTTCTTCATATGTCGGGTATGTTAGATTTAAAATTCACTTTCTGGAAGGGGTTATGATTAACTTTTATAATGACATTTTGATTTTTAAGTTTTTATTTGAAAATGCAAATACTGCTTCTTTTCGAAGCTAACTTTCCAGATAAAACATTAAAACATTTTTTTAATGCCACAGTTATGTAATTTCAGAAAGATAAGTTAATAGTACCTGGCAAGGGTGTTAATGGGCATGTTGAATCTGAAGACACTTTTCCCTTGATCTTTACTGCAGTTGTTGGGTGAGGATGTGGAGATATCAGTATATATTGTTGGTAGGAGTATAAAATGGTGCAGCCACTTTGGAAAATAGCCTGGCAGTAACTCAACAGAGGGTTATCATACAAGCCAGGAGTTCTACTCCAAAGCATATGCCCAAGATAAATGAAAACTTACGTCCACACAAAAGCCTGCACACAAATGTTCATAGCAGCTTTATGCACAATAGCCACAAAGTGGAAGCAGTTCATATATGTATCAGTTGATGATAGATAAAATGTCATATACCCATATAATAGAATGTTACTTGGCAATAAAAGGCGTGGAGTACTGGTGCATGTTACAATATGGATGAACCTCAAAAATGTAATGCTGAGTAAAAGAAACCAGTCACAAAAAACTCGACATTATGTGATTCCATCTATATGAAATGTCCAGAATAGGCAAATTTAAAGAGACAGATAGTAGGTTACTGGCTGCCTAGGGATGGGGGTAGGGAGAGGGTTGATTGGGAGGAGAAAGAAGGGGGTGACTGCTTAATGGTATGGAGTTTATTTTTGTGGTAACAAAAATGTTTTAAAATTGATTGTGGTGATGGTTGTGCATTCTGAATATAGTGCGACCATTGAATTGTACAGTTTAAGTGGGTGAATTATATGGTATGTGAATTATAGCTCGATAAAACTGTTTTGGAAACATTCAAATGGCTCTCAGGCATTATCAATAGCCCTTTTGTATTGTTCCTTCATTCTGCCAATGAGAAGGGTTCTAGTTGCACAAGAATCACAATTCCATTCTTACTGATTGATTAGTGCGCAGTACTACTTTTTGGCAGCACATACTCACTAGTGAATTATTTGTCTGTTAGTTTCTAGTGCCAAACTTAAAAGAAAAAAGAACTGGTTCGCAACAGCAATATATACAGAAGTAGCTGTAGATGGAGAAATTACGAAAACAGCAAAATCCAGTAGTTCTTCTAATCCAAAATGGGATGAACAGCTAACTGTGTAAGTACCTTGTATAAAGGATGGAAAATCTTCACAAGAGAGTATGTTTTTTGGAATATGTTTTTTATTTTGTAAAATGACTTCAAAGTAATGAGTGTTTTTTTAAAGTGTGGATCGACAATTTAAAGTATGGAGAAATTTTTGATTAAATTATTTTTCAGGAGTGGATGCATAATAATGCTTGCTTTTGCTTTATAAACCAAATTGTTTCCATATAGACATTTTCTCTGACTGTTCTGATACAGAAATAAATAGGACTGCATATTAGTCATTCTTAATTTTGGCATTTCAAAATAATAATGGCATAAATTTGTGTATAGTAAAAGTATTATGTAAGTCTTTAGACATTTGTTCAAATAGAAACAGTGTTACTGTGAACTCTCAGTAAGACTCTTGTGTTGGTGTTTTGGCTTGCTAATTCCAAAAATCCTCATCTATTTTTTAAAGTCCTAATGTATTTGAAAGTAAAATATTTTTATTTATGATTCAAGTAGTTTCCTGTTTCATACAATATTTCTTCTCAAATAAATGGAATTCATGGTCTTTAAAACATTACTGAAATAAATGGTTTAATAGGAATTGTTACTTATTAATAGAATGACGATGTCTGCTCCTGTGTTTTTGTTATAATTTTACCCTTCCAGAAATGTTACACCACAGACTACATTGGAATTTCGAGTTTGGAGCCGTCACGCTTTAAAAGCAGATGCTTTATTAGGAAAAGCAACGATAGATTTGAAAGAAGCTCTGTTGATACACAACAGAAAATGTAAGTTTTTTGTTCTGACCTTTATTTCCTTATAAATTTATTTTAGACACTTTGAACATATCCCGAAGCCTAAAAGCAAAAACATAGTTTTGTATTCATAAAGAACTTCAGTTATTGCTTGTGATTGATTAACTTTGTGGCATTTTATGAAATAGGAAATATTTACCATGGCCTTTCTCCAGTCTGCACGTTTACAAGGTGATCTAAGTCATCCACAAGTACCCTATTATCAGTGACTATCAGTCATTTATTATCTGCTTGTTATTATATACTTTAAAACTTGAGAAAATTATCATTACATGACCCTACTCTATTTCGTCACTCGACTAATAACAATTTTATTTTGGCTAAAATAAATTGTAACTCTTAAGTTTTCTTTTATTATTATATAATTAGTTTATTGTAAAAAATAAGAAGATAGAAAATTATAGAGTAATATAAAAATTTTCTATAATTTTACTATCCAAGGATAACCAAGCTTAATAATTTGGTCGCTGCCCTTTTTCATAGACACAAACACATATTTCTTTTCTTCTTTGCATCTACTAGTTTATCCTTTGCTTTCTAGAAATTTAACAATATACCAGAAATATTATGTGTCCATGAAAGTTTTTCTAGACTGGGATTTTTAAGGTAGTTTAGACTTTAATTATTTGTAAACCTCCTATCATTATATGCAAAAATATGGGGTTATATACATATATGTGTAATTCTGGGGAGAGGGTTCATAGCTTTTATCAGATTCTCAAAATGCGTGATCCTCTGAATGTTAAAAACCAGGGTTCTGGCTGGGGGCAGTGGCTCACTCCTGTAATCCCAGTACTTTGGGAGGCCAGGGTGGGCAGATCACTTGAGGTCAGGAGTTCGAGACCAGTCTGGCCAACATGGCGAAACCTCGTCTCTATTAAAAATTCAAAAATTAGCTGAGTGTGGTGGCATGTGCCTGTAGTCCCAGCTACTTGGGAGACTGAGGCAGGAGAATCACTTGAACCCGGGAGGTGGAGGTTGCAGTGAGTCGAGATTGCACCACTGCACTCCCAGCCTGGGCGACAGGGTGAGACTCCATCTCAGAAAAACCCACAAAAAACCAGGGTTCTAGTTTATGATTTTTAAGTACCATAAAATAAATTCTCACACCACAATTTATTTAGTTTCCTGTTGTCTGACACTTAAGTAGCTTGTAACAGTTCACTAAAAATACGCTCTTGCTCAAATCTGTAAATATTTTTGCTCTTCTTACTTCCTTAGAGATTTTCTTATTAATTCCTAAAAGTAGGTTTGCTGAATGAAGTAAGGGATGAAATGCTAATGATGAAAATAGCAAGTTAATCTTTAAAAAAGTTCTTTCTGCAAATCCACATGCAACTTAAAGATCTGTTTTGATCTAGTGTTTGGAAATAAAGAGTTATGAGCTAAGAAAATATAATGTGATTATGGCATATAATTAGAACTAGTAATTAGTAGTTAGTATAAACCATAATAATTTTTATATATTCGGCTTAAAACATTTTTTTTTTCTCTTAAAGCATTGTAAGTTTGATTCTCTGCTGTGCCATGGCTTTTTTTTTTTCTTTTTCTCAATGAGTCATGCAATTCATCTTGATTCAGAAATAAGTAATAGGTTATTTAAGTATACAGTACCTTGCCTGGATTATTACTATTATTTAACCATATTCCCATTGTTGGACATCTAGATTGTTTTCAATTCTGTTATGTTAGACTCTACTGAACCTCCATGTAAAGATAACTATCCACTTATCTGCCAAATGATCTTCTAGGTAGGTTGTGATGTCATTACACTTCGAAATGAAGCCCTCACAAATTGTTAAAACTAAAAATTACCTTGGCCGTGTGCAGTGGCTCACGCCTGTAATCCCACCACTTTGGGTGGCTGAGGCAGGCGGATCAGCTGAGGTCAGGAGTTCGAGACCAGCCTGGCCAACATGGTGAAACCCCGTCTCTACTAAAAATACAAAAATTAGCTGGGCGTGGTGGCGCATGCCTGTAATCCCAGCTACTGAGGGGGCCAAGACAGGAGAATTGCTTGAACTGGGAGACGGAGGCTGCAGTGAGCTGAGATTGTGCCGCTGCCTTCCAGCCTGGGCAACAGCGTGAGACTCCATCTCAAAAAATAACTAACTAACTAAATACAAATTATGATTTAATTGAGTAGGATATGCTCAGGAAAAATAAAATTTAATAAACATACAGTGAGTAGATGGCTTCAGAAATTGTCGTAGCATCCTGCACACCTAAGAAGTCAGTAAATTAGTTTGCAAGGGCTGCCATAGCAAAATACCACAGACTGGGTGTCTTAAACAATGGAAATTGATTTTCTCACATATCCGGAGGCTGGAAGTCTGTGATTAAGGTATCAGTGGAGTTGGTTTCTTGTGAGGCCTCTCTTGGCTAGGAGATGGGCATCTTTTCCCTGTATCTTCATGTGGTCTTTCCTCTGTATATGTGTCTGTGTCCAAATTTCCTCTTATCAGGACACCAGTCATTGGATTAGGGCCTACCCCAATGACGTTATTTTAACTTAATTACCTCTTCAAAAATCTAGTCTCTAAAAACGTCACATTTTGAGGTACTGGGGAGTAAAACTTTAACATACTAATTTGGTGGGGGACACAAATCAGCCTCAAAAGGTAAATAAATTTATTTGGAGAATTAATCTCATGATAGTATCATAATCCTTTTATGATAGAAGACATTTATGGGTATTAGTTTTAGTCATTTATAGACAAATGAGTAACTAAAATAATTTAAAGTAAAATTAGATTTTAATCTAAGTGAGTTGTTCAAGAGTATACACATAACTTTGGGTTGTGATTAAAATATAAGTTTTCTGATTCTTAGCTGCCTAATTTTGATTAGAAGTAATATAAAATTAATAAGGTTCAAGACAGCCTTGAAGCAATTTATAAATACTTTTATAAATGATAGCATTCTTGGTTGCCTTTTTTTCAGTCTCTTGGTTTAGCACTTGGACTCTGAGTTTTAGTTGGGTATCAGTTGAATGAACTCTAGTTAAATTTTGGGGTTATTGTATATTTACCTTTAAAAAGAAGTAAACAGGCTAGGGGTGGTGGCTCACGCCTGTAATCCCAGCACTTTGGGAGGCTGAGGCAGGTGGATCACCTGAGGTCAGAAGTTTGAGACCAGCCTGGGCAACATGGTGAAACCCCATCTCTACCAAAGATACAAAAAATTAGCTGGGCTCTATCAAAGATACAAAAAATTAGCTGGGCACGTGCCTGTAGTCCCAACTACTTGGGAGGCTGAGGTGGGAGGATCGCTTGGGCCTGGGAGGTGGGGGTTGCAGTGAGCCAAGATTACACCACTGCATTCAACTCTGAGTGACAGAGTAAGACACTGTCTCCAAAATAAATAAATAAATAAACAAACAAACAACTGCTAAGAACAAAATAGGTAACCCAAGAAAAACGTGACATCCTAGTGATGAATAAAAATATTCAATACTAAAAACACTTTTTGTTCCTATCCTTAAACTCTGATTTGAGGGACAAGGTTATTGATAGAGATATTATGTTTCTGAGGTGTGCTCTATACAGAAAATGTTTGATAGTCAGCACCTTGAATAGAATTGTGTATATTTGTGTAGAAGGCTCCAGTGGAGGGATGTTCTGCAGTATGTCTGTGTTCCTCGTCTATTTGCAGAGGATAGATGTTTAAGGGATGAAGTGAAAGAGGAATCTCCTGAGAGGAAAGAAAGTAGGCTGAGTTTTTAGGTATTGAGGCAGTGAAAGAAGAGAACAGCGAAAGACAATCCAGCTGTTCAGGAAGAACCCTGGATCTAGCATGCATGAAAACTTCCAGTATGATTTCTGGCAAGACATTTTTTTTAAAAGTTTATGGTGTGAATGAATGGCAGACAGGATTAAAGTCCTTGAAGGCAGATTACAATATGGAGCAGGTGACTGTTACCAGAAGTATATGTGGGGGCTCTCGAGAGTAGTTTTAAAGGATGAAAGAACATGGTTTGGTTATAGTGGGAAAGTTATTGTAGGAATCCGAGGTAACATTTGTAACAATTGTAGACCACAAACAAAATGGAATTATTGAGCAACTTGAATGCAGACACTGTCTTATTCACTTGTGTTTTTTTTCAGTGCTTCCCACAGTCCACAGCCAAAGATTTTTTTAAAATGTTAACAGAGAAACTGGCTTATTCAAGTAAAATCTTACCATGGAATCTTATTCTGTATAAAAATTTTACTGTATGTAAAACATAAAGCAGTATTGAACAATACAGTCATGTACATGCTCACATGTCCTTACTCTTGTTATCCACAGCAATTCCTGAGTTAATTTCTGGGGGTACCCTGCTCCTGAAACCAGTTTGAAAATCACTTTTCTATAAGATCAAGTTCAACTCCTGTTTTCAGTGCCTTACAGAGTCTTAGTTCAGTTTGTCTAATTTCCTGCCTACACGTTCATACCCTGACTACTGTGTTCAGCTAGTCTTCTCATTATCTTCTGAGTATGCTTTGCTGGGTCTCCTATACTGAAAGCAGCCTATCACTAATCATGTCCTTGGTATTTTCAATAATTATACATTTGTTTAGTGGGTTTTTAGTTTCATTCTCTAACATAGATGGAATTATTATCGAGAGTATATAAAAAACTATATCTAAGGTAGCTACTAAGGAGGCTGAGGCAAGAGGACCTCTTGAGGCCCAGAGTTCAAGGCTGCAGTGAACTATCATTGTGACTGTGAACAGCTGCTGTACCCTAGCCTGAGTACACATTTTATCATTTTATGTTCCACTCATGTAGCAGGCTATTCTGTCCCTTCCTTTCCTCCTCGTTCTTTGTGTGTGTGTGTTGGGAGGGTGGTCTTGACAATGATGTAGGCCCTGTGGTATATACTCAATTATTTTTGTCTAAGTGCTATTAGAATGTAATTTTTACTTAACTATCCTTACCTTTCAACATAAATGTACTTAAGCTTGCCTAAAATTATTTTTGCAATGGGT